CTTACTAATCTTTGTGCTAAAGTATGAGTCATATTCTTAGTTCTGTTACATCTTTTTACGCCCGAGGCGCACGACGGATCAAAAGGGTTAGGGAGAGAAGGATGGCAGGCCTCTCCGACGGTTCTCTCACACGGTCCGACGATTTGACACGAAATTTAATGTTGGGCGCCAGACGCGTAGACTTGCGTCCACTAAGTACGCTAAGATTGCGAAAACTCGAAAGAAGCACAAAACGCAATGAATTTGGCGTGCGAGAGATTGGCCAGCTCGACCTAACGGTTATGGGCGGGGTTGATGAAGGGCAGCGCAAGATTCGGCGGGGTGACGTATAAATCACACACTCATATGTTTAATAATAAGAGTGAAAAACAAGGTTTATTGTATATTGGCCAGAAAGGGCCGTAGTGGATAACAGCCGCTGGTATAACTTTGAAATACTATGAAACCGAATAGTAAATGAATGATTGAATCGCGGAAATCAGAATATCGAGTCGGATTAGTAAATGAAAAGGTAAAAATGAAGTATTGCTACCGAGGTTGAATTAACAGAATTAAATATAGTCGCCGGAAAGAACATCGATTACAGAATATAATTGGACACGATAGACGTGAGCGCGAGATATTATAACGTAAGGGGTCCTGAACGCAACTGAAATTACGGCTAATATCACGCGAACCGAAGGTAAGCTCGATGGCGAGGTCACAGAAATAAGCGCGAGATAATAATAAGATTAATAATTGAATAGTGAAAGCTACTCAGCGAACAATAGAGTTGCACTAATTACTGGAAGAACCAGAGTGCTAAACGCGAATCATTCGGTGCCACGCCTCGCTGGGCGCGCAAGGACGCAAGTTTCGCAATCGCGAAGAATTCTGTCGCCAACGCGAATCATCGTATGATCTCGCTAAGAGGGTATAGGGTTCGCGAGAATACTCACGGCGACGCAATATATATCGCCAGAACGCTCGGCGTAACGCGGAATATTGCAATGATCGCACGAAGTAGACAAAACCACTACATACTAAATTTTACGCAGAATGAAAGATACGGAGTTATTGCGAGCGATAATTGAATGCAAGTAACGTTCGAACGCAAATAATAAGTCAACACGAGTCATATTCTAACGCAAGTAATAAGTCAACGCGAGTAATATTCTAACCCAATTAATGAATCAATGCGAGTAATAATCTAACGCAATTAATAAGTCAACGCGAGTAATAATCTAACGCAATTAATGAGTCAACGCAAGTAATATTTTAACGCCATTAATGAGTCAACGCGAGTAATAATCTAACGTAAGTAATAATCGAACATAGGATAGTACCAGATACTTCGAACAGTCGAATAATTAATAAGTAATACGGGTACGGCGCGTGGAATCTAAAGGTGGAAGCACATAAAATTGCAGGAGCCTTGAGCAGAATGCAGAAGCCATATGCGCATGCGCTATGGTATCTGAAGAGCTCTAACAGATACCACAGCGCATGCGCATATGGCTTCTGCATTCTGGTCATGGCTCCTGCAATTTTATGTGCTTCCACCTTAAGTCCCGGCGGTGCGAATTACGACGCACCATGAGGCACGCGGTCGTGACGCAAAGGTCGCGAAAAATGGCGTATTCGCGATATCTAAACCCGTCGTTGACGCGCCTACCGCGATCTCCAGGAGCTTGCAATTTCCTGTCGCGATCTCGTGACCACGAGACCATTCCGGCGCCCCTCGCTTTCGCTGTCGATCGCTAAATAAACGCCTTGTCGGCAAATAACACTAATTACCGAAGTTGTTCCCGAGCGAGAGCGCGACCCAGAGGGCGGTGTCGTGGCTTTACACAAGAAATATTACGCAAGGAAACCTCACCAATAGTCTGCTCCCCCTCGAAGGTTCTTGCCGCCGCCAAGGATCGGGAGATTGGCACCAGAAACGAGCCGGCTCCACGGCCGGACGGGCTAGCCGAACCAGAGGTATCACGAGTCAAAGATTTCGACGCGTCACGTTCGAGGACGACCCAAGAGTAAGAGTGCTCCCGAAAATCCGCTCGATAGCGGAATCGATGACGCGCCCCACTCCGGGCGTACGCGGCCCTGCAGCGCGACCACGCGGGCCAATTAGGGGTGAGCTCGCAGGCTCGCGATGTATCGCGCAGGGTCGTCACCACGGCTCCCGCAGGGCACTTTAATGGCCCCTCGCTCGTGCGGCGATTTCCCGGGATCCTTCCCGGCAGCGGACGGGACGCTATTTTTCTCGTGTTCCTCCTTCTCGGTCCGGGAATGGTGGCCATCCATCCCGGAGTCCGGTCTGCAGGGGAGGAGGGCAGGTAAGATTCATTCTGCCCTGGCGCCGGAACCCTGCTTTCTACGGGTCCGCTCGCCGCTGTGTCACGCGCCGCGCGCGTGTCCTGCGCTCCCTGGTGCTCGACGGCCCGCAAGCCTCGCCGCGGTCCGCTTTCATCGATCGATTTCTCGCCTCGATTCTCCTGGCCCACTTCCTTTCTCTTACTTCCTCGTATTCCCTCGGAGAAGATCCCTGTCTCGTCTCGGTGAGGTGTCGCGCATTATACAAAAAAATAAAATAAAGGGTCAGAAAAATAAAATAAAGGGATCAGAAAATACAACGCGAGTACAATATGCCCCTGGAGATCACGCATCGACTCTCGGGACCGTCCTCGGACGCGAAACCCGCGCCTTGTGACGGCGGCGGGGCGCTGCCACGATGCAGCGAAACTGCAACGTCACAGTTCATACAATGCTATGACTTGTGTATTTAAGTTTACTGTTACTTGTGTAAGTACGGAGCTGGACAAAATGTGTCAATTGAAGTCGTCTAATTTATAATTACTTCATATATATATATATATATATATATATATATATATATATATAAATACACCTTTTAACACTTTAATAAATAAACAACTTTAATATAAATTTTATTTTATTGACACGTACAAATATCGAAACATTTTATATTTAGAACTCATATTTAAATTACAACTTAATGAGAGATCCAATTTGTAATAAAATCTAAGGTACAAGTGTAACTAAGTAATTACGCTTTATTTCACCTTTTGCATCGTTTGCAATAACCTCCTCAAAAATTTCATTATTAGGGGCATCACCATATCCTTCAGCAATAAAATCATTAATGGTATCATGTACACCGTCGAGATATATGTTGTGAACCACATAGCATGCTATTATGGTAAACCGAATCATATCATCTGTATTTATATATCCAAGTATTTTAACCGTCTCTATCTTTCCTTCAGAGTAAAAGCTCGTTCAATTACTTGTCTCATTTTAGAGAGGGCTTGATTGAATTTTTATTGTGTTTGCGTCAAGTTTCCGAAGTTACGGAAAAGCGGAATGCACCATGTTAAGACTGGATATGCTTTGTCCCCAATAATGTATTTTTGTATTTTTGATCTGGGAAAAAGGGCTGTCTATTTTCTCGAACTGCATGTCATAAATCTGAATTTGAAGACTTGCATATCACTGAGTCCTAAGGCCAGCTCAGCGAGGACAGAAACCTCGCGTAGAGCAAAAGGGCAAAAGCTGGCTTGATCTCGATGTTCAGTACGCATAGAGACTGCGAAAACACGGGCTATCGATCCTTTTGGCTTGAAGAGTTTTCAGCAAGAGGTGTCAGAAAAGTTACCACAGGGATAACTGGGTTGTGGCGGCCAAGCGTTCATAGCGACATCGCTTTTTGATCCTTTGACCAGTCATTGCGATAGTAATCCTGCTCAGTATGAGAGGAACCGCAGGTTCGGACATTTGGTTCACGCACTCGGTCGAGCGGCCCCCGCCAGGTACAGTGCCAGACTAGAGTCAAGCTCAACAGGGTCTTCTTTCCCCGCTAATTTTTTTAAGCCCGTTCCCTTGGCAGTAGTTTCGCTAGATAGTAGATAGGGACAGTGGGAATCTCGTTAATCCATTCATGCGCATGCACTAATTAGATGACGAGGCATTTGGCTACTGTAAAGAGAGTCATAGATACGACCGCACCGGGGGGTCTGGGGGGGGGCGGTTAGCCCCCCCAGGATCCTCCCCGTGGTCGGAGTGCGACTGGACGTTATCAGTACTTCCCTGCACAGCAGTAACGGAACCCGCCACCGTGGATTTGCCCATTACAGAGATACATACTCTACGGATTACATACTCCCGGTATAGGCGACACCTCTGGCCACTGGCAGACACGGTTTCCCGTAACGCACATATGACTCACTATTGTACCTGAGCTGTTCCCCAGGTAGCAGGGTTTAATCCTGCAGCGAGCATGATCTACTCGGATTAAATCAGCTCAACTGACAGGACCGGGGTGCCAAAGCACCCCACTTACAGATAATGCGCAACATGAGCTTCATAGCGCTGACCCACACTAGGCCCTCTATGCCGCTCACTCGGCTATGCGAACCACCGCCCCTACGAGTCCGACACCATCTGGGATGCGTTCGAAAACGTCACCCGAGTGCACACGAGTATACTTCCTTCTCTTTCTATCTCAGCGAATTAGAAGGAGAAGGGAGTATACCCGTGTAACCCGTGTATACCCGGGTGACGTTTCCGAACGCAGCCCTGGTAGGGCACCGGTAGCCTCCCGGCGGGGCTCCCTACCCCCGTAGTACTCGTGTCGAGTGATCTTAGCTCACGTTTGACGAGTCGCCGTCGCTGGTACCAGTTTACCCGCGCTTGCTTGAATTTCTTCACGTTAACATTCAGAGCACAGGGGCCATATTCTGTTCCGCTAAAATCCGCTTACCGACAATTGTCGGTAAGCCGATTTTAGCGGAACAGAATACGGCCCCTGGGCAGAAATCGCCACTCTGACACGCTTGGCTCTAGAACACCGTGACCGCCGGGGCACGAAGCTTTCGGGGCACGCGCTCCGTCTAACCGAGTAAGTAAGGAAACGATGAAAGTAGTGGTATTTTACCGGCGATGTTGCCATCTCCCACTTATGCTACACCTCTCATATCTCCTTACAGTGCCAGACTAGAGTCAAGCTCAACAGGGTCTTCTTTCCTCGCTAATTTTTCCAAGCCCGTTTCCTTGGCAGTGGTTTCGCTAGATAGTCGTCTACAGACTATCATGAGATACTTACCAACAAAGCCTGCAATACCAGCAAAGCAGTCTGTGAAGCTAAGCTGAGAATCACAAACAGTTTGGAGAGTGATGCTGAACCGCTTTTTTCTGTTAATGTAGAATTGACAATTTTCCTACAAAGGCACACAAAATATTTCTTCAATTGACAAAAAATTATTTTTTAAATAGTACAGTACATACTATATTATTCTACTTACCTTATATAGGACCTTTCACTTCAGTATCAGTACCATCGATTGCACCGATGACATCAGATAAATCACCATTTTCTTTGAATTTCTCTTTTACAGTCAAAAGCTTGTCACCTGTTGGCCAAATAATTGCCAACAGGTTGGCCAAATATATCACTAGCAATGTCGTTGAGAGCTTTAATAACACGCATGAAGCAGTTACTCAACGATGATTTGCCCATACCAAAGCGGTCGGCTACAGATCTAGACAAAGAAATAATTAAATGATAGTTACTTCAGTAATTTCCACAACATTGTAACAATAAATAATTGACAACATATATATCAAGAGACACGGTAGTGTTTGCCAAGTGTTTGCGCCAGCGGCACGGGCAGCGAGACCGAAAGTGTCTATATATCTCAAGCATCGAGTTGAGCGGAGATACGATAGCCATATCCGCCATATCTAAAAACAGCTAAGCGGATGAATTTTTAACAAGCTTAATTGATTGCTTGGGATCCTTTTATATCTCCTTCTTTGTCATCGTATCTTCATGTCTGAAGAATCGTGACATTATGATCATTTACAATGGTGAACCATAGTCGTCCAACAATAGCAATCTTCAGCCTCGGAGATTTATTTACAGTGGTTGACCTGTGATATCTTTTATCTGGTCTAGCCATCGTGACGGAGATCGGCCTCTTGATCTCTTGCCTTTGGCCTTGCCTTGCACTATCAATTTTTCCAAGTTATCCTGGTCTCTTTGTGTAGTGTGACCGAAGTATTGGAGAATACGTCTACGGCATTGTGGAAAAGTCAATCGGTGATGTTAAGTCCGGGTCTACAATAGAGTGTAGTAAGCCTTACCCTTAATAACCTTGCTTTAAGCAGTAAGACATAGCAAATGCTCTTACATCAGGCTCGTCTACAATGCTTAAGGCGTAAGCTGTAACGATATTATATGTATAAAGCATATAGAATAGAGTGAAAGCGACAAAACGTTGTGGGTCATATGTTTAACATATAACCTTTAAACATTAATAGTGAAATAAATAATATATCAACTCTAGTCATTGCTTTAACTGACTTACGCAATACGCTTTTGTATATATATTTAAAGAGAAAAAATCGAAGAAGGTGGTAGGTAAGAAATCTTACTCGGCAGAGAACGCAGCAAGGAATATATAATAATTTATTCCGGAAATTGTATTTAACGCGCGGACGAAGAACAATTTTTTGAATATACTATAATGAATAAAATGCAGTTTGATTATTTGCTTTCTTTGGTTGGCCCTATGCTGCAAAAGAAAAACTTAAGAGAGTTCTTGCCTTCAAAACTTCGCCTAGCTGACACTTTGAGGTTAGTATATTATATTCTCCGTAAACCAATCACAGAGCCATATATTCTACACATTATTGTATTCGTGAAATCATGCTCCGTGACAGTTTTTTTAACCTTAAAATAATTTCTAATGGCATACTGCTCTTTTGCTATTTTCTATAATAATTCTGTACAAAGTACTCTCTCTTTGGTAAATATGAAGAATAGTGGCTTTCTCATCGATTTTGTTGAATTTAGGCTTAATCGACGCGTTTTTGCGTAAAGCGAAAGAATCTGGCAGAAAAAAGTGTCGCTCTGCCTCGCGAAAGGAGATATTAAACGTTAAAGTTGACAGGAATCAGTAGGTTATGATTCCTGTCATACCGACGAGATGTAGCGACTACGAACATGCCTCGCGACCACATGCGCATGCAAAAGTGCGCGAATTTGAAACGTATGTATACTTATAATGCATATCACTTACAATTAGTTTTCAATAATGAATATATTCTATATAATATATCAAAATACATGCGTGGGCGGGGGGCCTCACCCCCTTGCACCCCTCCATGTGGGTGAATCTCGAAGCGTGGGCGGGGGGGCTTTGCCCTCCCGCACCTCCCATGCACAAGTCGGTGTGGGTTAATGTTGAGGCGTGGAAGGGGGGGTTTTGTCCCCTTGCACTCTCCATGCGCGTGGACCTCGCTTTATAACTTATAAAGCACATGCACGAGGAGGGGGGAGTGCAGCAAAAGAGCAGTATGTCATTAGAAATTATTTTAAGGTTAGAAAAACTGTCACAGAGCATGCTATCACGAATATAATGATGTGTAGAATATGGCTCTGTGATTGGTTTACAACATCTTAAGATTGTACTTATAACAGTCTTAAATATAAGGTCAAACTATATGAATACTGGGATATGTGTCCGTTTCTTGCTGTGTCCGATTGCAACCATCGTGTATCCATTTTCTACTGTGTCCGATTTATTCTGTGCGCAACTGGCATCTCCTCCTCTCCATTACACCTTACCAACACATGAAAATAACGCTATCAGTCTCATTTTTTCTTTGCCTATCTTGTCGATAAACATAGTCTGATACTTTCTCCAATCATCCGGGCACCATTCCGTTGTCCAGACCTCGTTACAGATGTTCAACAGTGCTGCTTTCATTTTCTCTGTCATATCTTTAAACATCCTGTATTCTATTCCGTCTCTTCCTGGTGCTGTGTTCTTTCGAATCATTTCTAGAACTCTTGTCATTTCTTCCATAGTAAACTTTTCTTCCAGGCCTTCTTTCTTGTACGTGTCACCGTTATTTCCTTTCATTTTTGTTTGTATACTTGGGGGAGCTAGCTTCTCAATTTCTTTTCTGATTTCTTCTTTTCTGTTCTTGTGTATCCAACTGTTCCAATTTATATATCTTCTTCCTTAGATTTTTGAATATTCTCATAGTGTTCCAGACGTACGTAGGGCTGATAAATCTGTTAATCGATGCACAAAATTTATCAAAACTTTCCCTTTTCTTGATGTTGATAACTTTCCTCGCTTCTGCTCTTTTTTTTTTTTAATCTCTTAGTGCTCTCTTTCTTCTTTCCAAGATTTCTTCGCAGTCTGCATCCCACCACGAAACTTTTCTTCCTTTCGGCTTTCCTTCGTTTTTTTATTTTTTTTTATTTTATCTTCATTGGTTGATTTACCCGGATTCTTCTCATTACCCATGATGATCTTTATTGTTGATCTAAATATTTCTATAAAGGCAGTGTATCTTTCTTCGCGGTTGACATTGTCTCCTAATAATATTTCATTCACTTTTTCTTTGTTTTCTTCTAGTAGCTTACCCATGATAACTTTAAATTCCTTCCATCTTGTTTTCTTAGTAGAAATTCTATTTGATTTCTTGATATAGTATCCGATCTCCGTCGCTATTCTCACTTCAATGGGGAAGTGGTCTGAGTCCCATGTATCATTCAGTTGCTCGTATTCGATACTATCACATAGGTTCACCGTGGTAAAGATCAGGTCCAAATTAGATGAATTTTGGCCTATTACTCCCATTCTGGATAGTGTATCTTCATTGATGCATATATAATCCTGGTTGTACATCGTTTTCCACAATCTTTCTCCATTGGGGTCTGTGTCCTGGCAGTTCCAAGTCGTATGGTGAGCATTGAAATCCCCTACTATTATTGTTTCCAAGCCTTTACTATCAAATTTGTGGATTCCTTCCCACGCCTTTGGGAGGGAGTTTCGTGGTCTTCTATATACTGCAACTACATTTATCTTCTCTATTGTATTCATAAGTCTGATTCCAATGATATCAAAGTTCTCATCCACCTTCTGCCATCCGGGTATTATTTCAAATTCAATGTTGTCTTTAACACATATTGCCACTCCCCCACTCTTACCTCAGCTCTTCTTATTGTACGTTTTATATCCTGAGAAGTGTACATTGTCTTTATTGTACTTAGTCTCTGTCAGAATCATAATATCATAGTCTTGTATTCTCTTTATTATTTCATTTTTTTTGTTTAATCCTCTGCAGTTTCAAATCACCACCTTTAATGTGAACGTGATGCGCTGTGATGGGCCCGGCTAAGCACCGTCACGCGCCTCTCCCTTTCCTATCCTCTTTCTAGTAATCTTTCTTGATTCCTTGTACAATGACTCTCTGTTTCCTTGTTTTCTCCGCTAACTCTAATTCTTTCTTCTTTTGTAGTATTTCTTCCCTGGTTCTAACTGAATCTTCTTGTTTATCTTGTTTATCTCTAGTTCCTTAGGTTCCGGTCCTTTGACCAGCTCCTGTATGATTTTTCTAAACTCCCAATCATGCTCGATATAAAATTTCAACTTTGCCGCCAGATCAATAATAATATATTGCTTTGCATTCAGCCCTGGCGGAATCTTGTGAATTGAGATTTCCTTTCTTCCTTGGTATTCTTTTTCGCCTTCTTCTTCCGTAATTTCGCTGTCCCACCTTTCTTCTTGTTGACCTAATTCTTTGTTCTCCGCCTCCTGTCTATTCGGTTTATCGTATCTATCGTATTCTTGCGTCCTATCCGTTTCCTTGCCTGCCAATATTAATTCTGCTTCCCTACGAAACACATTATTGTATCCCATAATTATGTTGATATTCTTATTCTTTTCGTAGACCGTGCACGCTCTGTACGTGGACCTATGTGGACCTACTCTGATACAGTTACCGTGTGCCAATTCATATATTATACATCTCTCTTTGCTCTTACACAATGCTTTGATATGGCGAAATATAAAACATTTAAAACATTGTTTAACCGAAGCTATATACGTTTAATAAATATATATTTCTCTATTGTACTTATTATATGTGTTTATGTATACTTCTGTGGAATATAATATTTTATTACCACAAAAATGCCAGCAATTTTGCATCATTTGATATAATGAGATTATCGTTTGTAGTATTTTGGCAAAAATCTGATTTTTCATATAAATCTTTTAACTTTATGTAATGTATACCGTTGCAAACGAAAGTTTCTCTGAAACTGAATATTATATACAATTATAGTGTAGAAGTATAAAGTCATCTATGTGCACAATACGCATCTACATACATACATACATACATACATATATATACACACTCGTACAAAAAAAATAGGGAACACTTCATAAACTCTAAAAATT